CAATCACAGAAGTGTCATGGGTACAGCCCAAAGTATTTAATTTTCCCCCACAAGATCCATTTCAGAGTAAGCTGAATATCTGACAGCACCACACTCTTAGATATACTATGTTTTTCCTACACACAAGGGTGTTCTCCTGTAAATTTTGTAGAGTAACATTTCTTCATCTAGTCCCCAAGTCCATTTCATGTTCTGATTATTGATCCAAAAATGTCCTTTTTAACAAAATTGTCCCCAAAAAGAAACACATTCTATGTAGGAAAATCTGTGCTGTCCTGGTCTGTCCTGGGACACCTGGGGACACGGTGCATGTTCTGAGTAACTGAGATGAGCCAGTCCTCTAGCTGTGCCCAGCCCTTCTCCAGCCCCTGTGATTTTCATGTTCCCAAAGCACAGCCCATTGCCCTGAAGACTTATTCATAGGCTGGTCACACCCTGTGCAGGACTCAGTCCTTGTCAGGACACAGCATGGACATGAGACCACCTGCTCAGCTCCTGGGGCTCTTGCTGCTCTGGCTGTCAGGTAAGGAGGGAGGACACTAACAATTTAGTTAGCCACTGTGGGAAGTACCCCCTTGCTCTACAGGAATTCCTCTTATAATGTGATTCATTATGTAGATATCTTTATTTTATGTTTCAACTTCAGCTGCCAGATGTGATATCCAGATGACCCAATCTCCATCCTCCTTGTCTGCATCTGTGGGAGACAGAGTCACCATCACTTGCCAGGCCAGTCAGGGCATTAGCAGTAATTTACACTGGTATCAACAGAAACCAGGGGAGTCTCCTAAGCTCCTGATCTATTATGTATCCAATTTGCAAAGTGGGGTCCCCTCGAGGTTCAGTGGCAGTGGATCTGGGACAGATTTCACTCTCACCATCAGCAGCCTGGAGCCTGAAGATATTGCAACTTATTACTGTCAACAGAGTAACAGTTATCCTCCCACAGTGTTACAAGCTTGAACATAAACTCACCAAGGAAGCAGATGTGTAAGGCTGGACTGTCCCA